TTCATAATATAATCTAGAAAAAACAAATGAATATAACATAGTTAGATAAAACGAAAAATTGAAAGACAATTTCTAAAAGACGTACTAAATAACTTGAAATAATTTCTTTCAATACTTTAAGTTGTAATTATATCATTAACTTTTCAATCATTACATGTTGAACGAATGGATTGTGATGAATAATAATAAGATGAAATTTTTTACAAAAATATAAAATCATTTGACTGCAAAATACGTTGTGATCGTCAACGTCTGGGTCAAAGGGGTGTGGGGGTATTAGTAGGATATATCGACACCGATAATGTCAATACTATTTGTGACGAGATAAATTATGTCGAAAATTATTTATAAGTGACTAGATGATATATTATGAAATCAAATATCAAATACAACATAAAGTTTTCGAAGTGATTCACTACTTTGTGCGTAAAGGTGAAGTCATTCATCTTTAACATCTTCTCGGCCTTCACAAAACAATTTGGACTACCTTTCTACTATCCTAACGATGGAGATGTTTGTATTGTAATTGAGCTAGACCTGATATTTTGGCGTCAAATGAAAGCTGTCATCGCTAAAGTAAGAAGTTTAAAATATGAACTGCTGTTGGTGCATTATTATATAGATGCTTGAATTGTACATAATTCTGAGTATGAGTATTGTAGATGAGGATTATTTAGATTGATTCTTTGTACAATCAATTGAATATTTTGATAGTGCGTACTTCAAAAGTTTTTCTAAAATGAATCAATCGCATCAGGATCATGTAAATGTAGGTATCATCTGAACTCTATCTAATATCAATATAGAAAAAAATTAACTGGAAACTAATAAAAACTTAACTGAGCAATAGTTTTTCCTTTTACACGATAGATATAATAGATAATAGAAAGAGTAATTCTTCAAATCCATATTTCTTTGAAACTCGTTAAGACCAATAGAAAAGAAACGGTCAATCTTTAGACCACCAAGTATGGCATCAATACATTCGAAATTCAAACATCATAAGTGAAAAGTATCTTTCGAATACATTATAAACCTTTGTCTATATTGATATTAGTTAGAATTGAGAAGATACCTATATTTATATGATCCTGATGCGATTGATTCATTTCAAAAAAAAACTTTTGAAGTACGCACTATCGAAATATTCAGTTGATTGTACAAAGAATCAATCTAAATAATCCTCATCTACAATACTCATACTCAGAATTATGTACAATTCAAGCATCTATATAATGATGCACCAACAACAGTTCATATTTTAAACTTCTTACTTTGGCAATGAGAGCTTTCATTTGACACCAAAATATCAGGTCTAGCTCAATTATAATACAAATATCTCCATTGAAAGTGCAGAAACTTGATCACCAAAAACAGAATGTAGTTCATCGTAAATAATTCTTGCTTGGATATTAAGTGCCCTACATACTTTAATGTAGAAACAAAAGTTTTTCTTATCCATATTAGTAAAAATGAATAATGTTATGATTTAATTTAATTATTTTGCTTTATCTTTCTTAGAACACAATTATACAGTAGGTCTATACATAAAGCATACAAAACATGTGTCTTTTTACACACATGTATTGACAGCTAAGCATTGAGGGAGACGAAAAAAAAAACAAAGGAAAAAAAGAGAGAAGAAGAACAAAGAGAATAACAAGTAGATAATACACATCGAACACACAATATAATTTAATACAATCAACACACATCATACCAAAACAAATCTTATCGAAAGTTTATTATTATGATATTAATTTAAGTATGATCAAATAGCATAGAAAAATAGAGCTTTCTATAAAGAATTACGATACCTTCGGCACTACTTTTGAATTGACGTAAGTATATATGTGAGGAGAGTTAGGCATTAAAAGAGACAAGAAAAAAGGAATAAAGAAAAGAGAGGAAAAGAGTAAATAGAACATGAAGACGAGAGTACACATAGAAGACAATATGAACTAATTTTATTCTTACATGTCATAGGTAAACAAATTTCATGGAAATTTTATTATTATGATACTAGATGAAGAATCATTAATTAACACAGAAAAATAGATCATTGTTTTTTCTCTCACTACTTTTGGACTACTCTAAGTAATTAAACAATCAATCGACAGCATTCTTTAAAAATCTGTCGATAATAGAATTCTCGTAGCTATGAATTTTATTATGATTACCTTTCACGCTCATCCCGATATTAATCAGCTAATTGACCGAAACGTAACTGTTTTGATTTACAATGACAACGAAAATTAACTGACTGCTCTAAAACGTAAATCTCATTAGAAGAAAAACGATTTACGATAAATAGTAGACACAACTATTTCTTTTTTATGATATCTCGTTTTTTTTCCAAAACTTGAAATTCATGCTTCACATCACATGTCGTATTCGAGTTCGATTCGAATACCATCTAGTTTTGAATAGCTATGAAGAATTAATTAAATAGAAGAATATTTATTTAAAAAGTGTCTCTTTTGAGAAGCGGCAGTTTGGGATGGCATTCTATATTCTATCTTTCCTTAATATATTATATCCTTTTGATATGATAAAAGTAAACTGAGTCTCAACAATTATAATCTTCTTGATTTGTTATTGATTAGCATCGTAACTTTACGAATTAACTCAATAATTATTGAATGAATAATAAATATGATGTTTTTCTTTCAATGATTTTTTTTTTCTTATCTCATTAGAATATGATAGGAAACAGGGGTTCGAATGGACTATCAAGCCTGTGTCTGTGACATATATGCAAGCAAAGCTAATCGTTGGAAAGAGACAAGGTGTTTGTCGGTTATTTCGTTTTTAAATTTAAAGTACAAGGTCGTTTTCTTGTGCAAATAATATAAAGGTCACAAAGTACAATGGACGTCCTGCAATGCTACAAGGTGAGAAATGAAATTTTATCAATTTAACTGCAAATAATCACAACTAATTACATACTATGACTAAATTCGTTCAGTTGCTGCGCACAGTGTTAATTGCTTATTATTGTTATTCTATGTAAATTGTTGTCTAATTCTTATTATTCTCTGATTGATAGGAATTTGTAAATATTGAAAAATGATACAAAATTTAAAAACAAACCAGTAGAGAAACGAAAGAATGAATGATGAAAAGAAATGACATGTGAAATTTGTAAATAGTTCATAATCCATCAGAGATCCTAACCCTATGCCGATTATGGATCAAGCTGGTTAATTTATCAATATTTCTGACTGATACTTATATTATTTTGAAATATCTATTGTTAAGTTATCTTCTCCAATTAATTTATCAAATAAATTAAAGAAATTCATAATCAAAAATAGAATTGCTTTTTTTCTTCTACGAATATATAGCATGACCTTCTTGTTTTCATATTATGATTCTCTATTGTTTTTCATTCAAATATCATTACAATATTAACATATAAAAAATAAACAAATATTAGCAAGCAGATCAACACGAGAAAAACATACGTCAGATATAGATAGGTCAAACAAATTCATAGCCTGTCATATGTTCATTCAATCTATGAAAAATCAAAAAATTGTTTAGAATTCTGATAAGAATTGTTAACAAAAAATTCGAAATTAACTACTATTTTTAGTTAAAGTAAATATTAATGATTCATACTTGGGAAAAAAGAAAATTCTTATTATAATGCATTTTCAATGTTACATTGTTTAGTTATTATCATTTTAAAATACGTTATGCAAGACATTGTCATTTTGAGTCAACATAAAATTTCAAACAAAACAATATTAACTAACAAATAAATAATGCTCAAATATACGAAACATAATTTTATATTAAATAAAATGACGTTACAAGCAAAGTTGATCGTGAGAAAATGACATAAGATAATGTAATGTTATGTATTCTGGACTTTCAATAGAAACCATAAGACAAGAATAGAATAGATGAGATAAGAATAATAATCATGTATCGTCTTGTCACTATGAGTAGACAAGAATGTGGTTATAGGGAGTGATACACACTCCCCTCCACTTTTAGAAAATTGTTTATGCAGCTTTTCAGCTCTCAAAAAATGTCCTTGTACATCTCCTGCTGCTACGTTTTTCTCTTCGACACATTTCTAATTGAATAAGAAATTTTTCATCTATGTTTTTTTTTTGTTAAATCGATATGAAGCAAAGATTTCTTATGAAGAATCAATGCTCAAAGAGAAATAACTTTTAGTTTCTGCATCAACTCTCCCTTTCAAAAAAAAAACAAAGCAAATAATAGAATAAATATTTGTTAACTGACAGGTCAAATTCTTTTTTTTTTTCTTCTTTTAAAATGTTATAGATGTCACTATATCACAAGGCTGACGTCATTACACCTCTATATTTGACACAATAAACAAGATGGCGTCGTATTTCCCATTATTTCTTTTCTATTCTTTCATATATTGCCTTGCTCAGTGTTACTTTCGTCCCGCACATCCCGTGATCATTGTCGTTCGTGCTTCTTTTTTTTTTGTTGTTCTTTTACTTCATCGTTTTCTTGGCTAATGTTGATGTCAAACCATCGATGAAAAGAAAAAAAAACTCGACACTTTTTTTTTTCTTATAGTGTGGGTACATAGATTCAAAAAGAATCGAGAAAGATACAGAACGAAGGAGAAAAAAAAGCGTCTATAAAAAGGAGTGTCTGTTAACTATACAACAGCGGCCATGACAGACAACAGTAAATCGGCAACAACAACAAGTCAAACAAAAAAAAAAAAAAACTTTGCTCATATTCTTTCTTTTTTCTTTTTTTTTTTTGTTTCAGTATATATATTATATATATTGTAAAATAAACAGGCCAAAAAAACTCAGTTGTGTAAGTAACATCGTCATGTTGGTCTGATTTCCCTCCTATTTTAATCAATCTTCGAGCAACTGCTAAAACAGCAGACTCTCTTAATTAACCTTATTCCTTTATAAATTTCATCACCATCATCATCATCATCATCATTATGTCGACGTCAATATGGCATATTCAACAACATCAAATAAATAATGTCTATCTTAATTAAAAATGAATGCCCAGTAAATTTCAATCAATAAATAATAACAATAAATATTTTTCAACTGGGTGGCAAGGGCAGTACTGGTCAAAAACAACAACAGGTTTGTTATTACTTCATATATTTGAAATATATGAAAGAAGAAAAATTCATTGCATCATACATTTTGTTTTTCATAACAGGTATTAATAATCAGTGGTTATCAACAAATTCTTTTTTATAAATCTTATAAAAACCGCAATGGTAATTGTCGTGGTGGGTCTTCGAACAGCTGGACAAACACTAAATTCATTAACATCATCCCTAGAAAGATTATGCTCCAAAGAAGAACGAACATGGAAAGATCGAATATTCAATCAGATTAGATTAGTAAGTTTTGTTTTTCCTTCTTGTTTTTTTCTTAGACTAGAATATAATGAAGAAGAAGGCAAAAAAACATCTTCTTGTTTTTGTTCTTTTCTCTTCTTATAGAGAATATTTTTGTCGGTTGTTTTATATATTTAGTGTAAGACTACATCTTGTTGATAATCATAAGAATCATGTTGAAAGGGCAACATAATTTTTTTTTGAGGAGAAATGAGAGGCAAATATAGATAACAACAGTTAATATCTTCTATTTACATTTGTTGAAGAAATAGCAAAGAAAGAAAGAAAGAAAGAAAAGAGAATATTATGTGTATACAAATGGATAAAGAATGTTTTCGTCTAGGTCTTTTTCTTCTTCTTCTTCTTCTTTTCGATATATAAACATCACCCATCAATCATTGTGCCTCCAAGGTATAGAAAAACTTAATCCATGGTGATTGATGTCTTTTTTTTTCAGTAAAAATTTTACACCTTGACAAAAAAAATAAAATAAATAGAGGTTTCGAGATTTACATTATATGAAAAGTTTTTATTTATTTTTGAGAATGGGATTTCAGTGGGTGTTCTTTTTTCTCTATTATTATGATTATTATTAATTAAACAAAAATACGATATAATCATTTGATTAATTTTATAATTATAATAAAATATTTATTTTTTAAGGACGAAGTGAACAGTTCCCAACGTAATCATGCATCATCATGGCTTCGTAAAGTGGCAGCATCAATGCATTTCGGTATAGATACATATGCACTTAGTGTTGATTTACTTGATCGATTTTTGGCTACACTTAAAGTATGTTTTATGAAAATTTTGAGAAAAATATTTAAAAAAAAAACCTTTTTTTTTTCCTTAAAGGTTCGTCCTAAATTTCTGGAATGTTTGGCTGTCGGTTGTTTGTATATAGCGGCCAAATGTAAAGAAGAAGATGATACAATTCCTATAACACCAGAATTTGTTATCGATTGTAATGCAAGTTGTTCAGCTAATGAGCTTCTTCGTATGGAACGTTTAATTTTAGAAAAATTTAATTGGTATGCTGATTTTGTAACATCAGTAGATTTTTTACAAATTGTAAGATGCAAAAAAAACAAAATTTTACATTTACTTTTAATAAGAATATTTATTTTCTTTTTTTTTTAGTATTTTGCACTTTTACTACTTAAATCTAATAGTCAACATGAAGGAAATGATAATGAAAAAATTTTAGTTGAAAAATATGTTGATTTAGAATTAAAATTAGCATCATGTTTACAACATCATCGTTTAGCTACGTTTAAACCAAGAATTCTTGCATTAGCTTTAATAAGTTTAGAATTAGAAAAACAACAAGTATTAGAACCTGAAATCAATATTGATTGGCTTGCTTCTATTACTTATTTACAACATTTAGCAAAAGTAAATTAGAAATAAAAAAAAAATTAATTTTCTTTGTTTTTGTTTTTAAGATTGAAAGTGATGCTTTATTATCATGTCGAGATTTGATTGTTCGTCTGTCACCATCATATAAGGTTGTTCGATTGGAATTATCTGATCTTGCTTTTATATCCCGTGCTTATAATTCTTCAAGTTCATTGAAACCATTGATTAATTTATCTGGTCGACCAACCTATGCCGATGTTGTTTGTGGTCGTGCTGCTCCTGCTGCCCAATAAATGTGTATCAAAATATTAATTTCTTTTTACAAAAAAAAAAAAACAAAAAAAAACAAAAAGATTTCATTTGAGCATTAAGAACAAACTCAAAAAAAAATAATAATTGAAGATGGTGAAGTCAAAAAAAAATCAAGGCTTTATTTCTTTTCTTTTTTCTTTTCTCGCTTTTTTTTTTCTTTTATTTTCTTTTTTTCCTTTGCTTAATCCAAAGTTGACGTCGAATGTCTGATATTAACATAGATGTACACATATAAATCTATTCTCCATTAATTTTATTTCTATCTCATTTTGAAACAGTAGCTGACAGAGAAAAAAAAAAAAACAAAACAGTTAGAAAACAGAAAACAATCTTGTAAATTAACATGAGAATGCATTCCATCTTTGTCGATCAGCAAGTAAGTGGCAAAATCACGATAGTATTATACAAAAAATAAAAAAAACCAAAACTTATTGGAGAATGGATTTCGTTCATTTATTTCTATTTTGTGTCTTGTCTACAATCTTAGATATAAATATATACCTATATATTATTTTTATTTTCACTCCATGTATAAAGCAAAAAAAAAATAAAATATATAAATTGTATTTATTGTCCTATATACTTCTTGTGCTTCTATAATGTAAATAGAGATGATCTCATTATAACACAAACGTTTTATCTTTTGTTCATTATTCTTTACATTTTATTTTATTGTAATATTTATCTCTAGAACTTTCCTGTCCTTTTTCGTTCTTTTCTCTTTTTTTCTTTCTTTTTTTCATTTGTCTCGAATAGCTACCATATCCTTTTGTGTACATAGATACTGAGAAAAAAAAACTGAGCAAAATAAATAAATAAATAAATATGTAGAAATATGAAAATAATTCAGTCCTTGGTAATATATATATATATGCATCTATGGCCTTGGCTGATATAATCTTAGTTAGATGAGAATATTATGAAATGACATAGAATTCAATGATTTATTGATACAAAAACAAGGCTATTTTTAGTTTTGAAGGTCGTAATAAATAAATACAAATGAAAAAAAGCAAAATCAATGTAAACAAATGCATAAAAACAAGACGGAAAATATCATAGATTGGTAAACAAAAATGTAATTGAAGTAATGGGTGTCGAAAGAAAAACGCACTTCACTTTTTTTTTTATACTGCATCAACCTTAATAAAAAAACCTTGAAATTTTATATCAGCTTCATGGCAAACAATGTATGCATTTCAGAGAAATATAGGTTCAGTGAATTGAATCTACTGTGTCTAATGTAGTAATTATCTGTACCTAAAAGTAATAATGACATTTATCAAGTGGCAATTGACAGATTCGTTATTATTTGCATTACAAATGATTGTATTGATAGAGTTAGTTTAAAAAAGTAGAATAATAAGTACTTATAAAGCAATATTTAATCTATATAAAACTGTTCATATATACTTAATGATCAATATTTAGATTAAGCAATTTTTCTAATAAAAAAAATAAAATAAATAACGTTCGAAATATTCTCAATAGAATATAGAATGTATTATTTTCACATTGATTTCATTGTATAATTATTCATTTGATTTATTTTCATCATCAATAAAATGATTGATCAAAATCGTATTTATTTATTATTTTTGTCTCATTACATTGTTGATTACAATCTTTTTACTTTTCATATAACCTTGACAAAAAATATTCAATTATTTGAAATTTTTATGTTTTTTTTATTCTCTTAATATTTATGATCGATATTTGATAATATTAGATCAAAATATTCTATTATCATAATGAAATAATAATTAATATTTATTAATGAATTATGTTTTAAATTCATTAATAAGTTATTATATTAAGATAATCATAGAAAATATATTCTAAACATAAAAAGCTTTTAATACAATCTTTGTGGGATTAAATTGTAAAACATGATGTAGATACTGTTGTTAATCATAGTCAGATTGTTTTATTCGTTCTATTTTAGGAAGCAGATTTCTTCACCATCCATTCATTTAATCCTCCAGAAATGTGATAAGGCAGTAGTTCATTTATTGCAACAAGATGTTATTGATATACATTCTATGATTGTATATCTATAATGATCTGTAGCAGAGAGGAAGGACGTTACTAGAGGTGTCTATAATGAACTATTTCTGGCGTATCTGTCGATCTTATCTGTCAGGGTCTATGGAACGCCGAAGGTGTAGTTGCAACTTTCTAACTTCAATGCTTCAACATTGTTAGATCATGTTTCACAAAATTATCAACTGAATTGAATTTTTTTACAAATTTGATTAAATATTTCTGATTTGTATCATAAAAGTTATTGTATTTATGAGACAGCACATAAATAGAAAAATATTTAAAAAATAACCAAACGAAAAAAAAAAAGAAATTGAGTAATATATGACAGTTGAAAGTTTTTCATACCATCGATTTATAATTATATCTTCTAATTATTATTTTAGTTAGGAAAATATCAGTAGACAAATTGAAATATTTTTATATCATCAACGAAAAGTTTTCTAATATTTTTTTTTTGAAATAAAATATTTGTTTATCTTTCATGACTATTTATTTTAACATTTCTACTAAAAACTAATCTTTTTATCTTTGTTTATAAATTTTTCATTAAATGACATAGATATATTATACAGATAAAGATTCGATGAGCCATATATAATTAATCAGTTCGTGCATATCGAATGTAATATGAAATGATTTAAATTAAAGGAAAAAAACTAATTCTAAAAAAAAGATTCGTTGTATTAGATAATTGTAACACAGGCAGATTTTTATCTTAATTAAACTTACAGATAATATCATCTTGCGTAATAATATCTAACAGCAGGAATAAAAACTTTCATCTCAGATAAACGATATAATTGATGTCTGAGAAAAGGTTGCGTGATCTATGTATCATTTTCTTTTTTTTCCTATATATACATATTTGTATATGTTTTTGCCTTTCTTTTTCTTTATATAGAAGTATTTCTTCGAAACAATTTGCCTAGAATTTATGTTAAGCGCCTGTATTTTATCATCACATAGAAAAGTGATGGCATATATATATATATACACATATGTGGTCTTTTTATGTTTATATTTCTATTAATATTACCCAAACAAATTCACAATAACTAAATGATCTTTGATTAGAAACAATATTTAAAGACAACAAATATTTTTATTTTATTTCAAGAGAGAAAAATTTTTCAATATTCCAATTTCTTTATTTTAAAATATTGGTTAGATGTCAATATGAAACATCGTATGTTTTGTATTAGAAATAATTTCATATAAGACATTCTTTTAAGAAGTAGTTATCTAAATCTATGAATGTTAATATGAAAAGTCAGAAAATTAACATTATAAAAATGAGTTATGAAACAAAAACAAAATCTTCTTTTTAAGTATATAGAAATAGTTTATGAAACAAATTACTTATCATTGTTCTATATTTATAAAAGTTTATCGATTATCATCACTCGACAAATAATAAACTGATTTACCCATTTCATGATCTCTATAAATATGAAAGAGAAATGTATGAAGTCATCGGATATGAACAAGAATTTCCTCCTAAAGATGAGTTTCATCGATGAATGTAGATCAATTGACAATACGAAGATAGAAAAAGACGACGAAGAAACAGTATAATTCCAATGCTAAATATTCAAAAGTGGATGTGAGTGTTAGAGAAGACAATATTAACATGCGTTGTATTACTAAAAACAAAAGTTCAATATGAATGTTTATCGTGATGTACAGATAACGTTCTTTATTCGTACTATATATAAGCCTAAGTATATGTAAGTAGATATTTTATAAGCCAATGATAGTTATACTTGTTCGCTTGACTCTTTTTGTCGGTCGTAATGAACACACTATACTTCCTGCAACGTTTATTCTCAAAGTTGTCAATTATCAAATAACATCTCATTAGGAAGTTATAATATATAGCACAAAAAAAAAGAGGAAATGTAAGCGATTATGATGTTCAATCTAAGTAAGATACTAAACGAACATTCTTAGAATTATGTTTATGTCTACAGAAAAATCGTCTAGTCATAAAATTTTCATTTCAACTAAACAAATTGATTTTCATCTGAAAATAAGAAATGAATAAAATAGATTCGACTGCGAAGATTTTTCTTTCGAAAAATTTTAACTGATATTTGTTAAGGACTTATATATATATTTAGAATCATTGTGGAAAATATTATCATTTTCACTATTGTAATCGAAATGTGTGAAGAATAGACCGTCTATTACATTATCATGATGAAAAATCACGAAAAACATTCGTTTAGTAAAAAAAAAGAAAAATGAAATTTTAATCAAAAAAAACAAATAATTTCGTACTGAAATGCAGTGACATCTTTATTCTATGGTCAATCATATCTTCCAATGTAATTCTCTTCTTCTCTCTAACTTGCTTGCTTGTTATTAAAAACTAAATTTTGATTATCATTAAGATTTCTATACATTTATAGAATGCTTTCAATTTTTTCTTTCAATCGATCTGTTTCATTTCATTCTATATTCACTCTCTTAACATCTACTATTCGTCATTCGACATCAATTTCATCGGATACAAAATCAAATGAAGATGCAGAACATCATCATCGTTTAGCTACAACAAAAAGAATGCGTATATTAGGTTTACAGAGTAATCAAGCTCGTCGAGCACTTTCAATCTATGATGATTATGTATATCAACAAAAAAAATTGCCTGATTTACGTATGCTTGGAGTTGCTATTAATTGTGCAATGATTGCTGAAGATTTAGCTAAAGGTCGTGAAATTCATCAATTTATTGAACATAATTTTCCACATTTAAAAGATAATCTTATGTTGAAACAACAACTTCGTTATTTTTATATTAAATGTAACGATAAATTATCAGCTGATAAACTTTTTCAACAAACATCAACAATAAAACATACACAACAAAATCAAAAACAAACAATAAATCTTGATTCAAATCAGATAGATAAAAATTAACATGAAATAGAATATATTTATAATTTTTGTTCTAAAAAAAAAAAACAACTAACAATCGACATTTGTCGCAGTTTATTCTATATTTTCAGTGGCTTTGATGTTTATCCAGAATGTTTTCTTCAAAGGTCTTCGTTAGATATTCTAAAATATCTTCATCTTTTTTCGTTTAATTGTTTTGTATAGAAGAATAAATATATCGATATTTTTTCTTTTCGTTTTAAATTTATAACTAAGAAGTTTGAAAATTTATCTCAAGATTTGATTAGAGAATATTCTTTTCATAGTATGAATAAAATTATAAATTCAGAAGTTTATATAAAAATCTACATAATCAGATATTCATATTGAGATACTTATTCATCTTGTAACTTATATTTTAAGGTGAATAGTTTTGTATCATTAAGTTTTATTAGATAAGCATTTTTAATAATAAATCTAGGCATATCACCTCTATCAGAGAAAAAAATAAATATTTAAAATACACGCATTTGTATGAGCGATTCAGTTCGTATGAAGGAAAAAAGAAATCATGACTGACTGTCTATATAAATATATAATAATCTCGGAGTTGACTTTAAAATTTTTGAGTCAACTAGACTATTGAATATTTAAGTCCATTCTGACATATAGGTATATATAGTGTACAATTCATACGGAGAAATTAGCAAGACTGATGAAAGATCGTCTAACTTTAAAAAAAAATTCTCTTACAGGATTAATTAAGATCAGAAAGCTTTAATTTTATTTTGGATGATATTAAATCAAACAATGGAAGACATATACTGAAGAACATCTGGACGTAAACATTGATTTTTCTATACAATTTTCGAAATAAACGGACCACATTATACCTTGCACTATTCAGAGCTAGTACAATAATTATTCAAGATATTAGATTTGGATTGCGCACATGAAACAATCATTATTTAGTATCTTTCTTATGCACAACAACATGATTTCAAAGATTGAAGAGACCGAAGAAGAATACAGCAAATAATTGACTTAATGAAATTAGATGCAAAAGAAGATGATAATAGCGCATATCGAACAAGGGAAAGTCTATTCATAGAAAGAAATCTCGGCACCATATAAAAGTAGAAAAATACAGGATTTTAACAATATGAGCTGAAAATCCAATGGCTCCTTTAAGAGTCAAGGAGCGAAAGATGATTCGTCCAAAACCCTACATATTCGACATGTAGCGGCTACACAGTGCCCTAGTCAGAGAAAAATCATGAACTTGTCAATAGATCACGGGTGAGTATCAGACCTAATTAGTTAATATCAATTAAGTAATTCCAACAAAACTAGGCTGCTGAAGATATAACTTTGGGTTTAATCGGTATTATTGATGACATAATCGATTCATTAATAAAAAAAAAAAAACACAATATAATCAATGGATAGATATGATTGTGCAGAGGGGTCTTGATTATCTCTATCTTTAAAGGAACTTCATAAACGAGAAGTCCAGTTCTCCGTGCTTATTTAATATAATTTTTTATTGTTGAGATAATCTCATCTCAAATTTTCATATATGTATCTAGACTATTTCAATTTTTATTCGATCCATAGTAGATTTTAAAAAATGGTGATTATGCAGAATTAAAAAGTTTATAAGACTGTTTCTAAATATAAAAACCTGAATTTTCAAATCTCTTTTCATGACAAAGAAAAATACAGTTCACAGATATTATTTGTTTCTTGTCATTTTGCCATAGAAATATTTGCTTTGCTTTTTAAGTAAAAGTCCGTTTGAAGAAAAAAAACCGATATTTCTAAATATGTTATAAAATATCACTCAACAGGGATGACAAATTTGTCCCATTAGTATGCTGGGTTCTTTGAGCTCACGATTTCTCATTGTATAATGAGGTCCTCAGATCGTGTAGAATGTATTTATTGTGTTCAAAAAACGTTAGCGAGATAATAGATATTAAATTTGACTTAAACTAAACATTTCTATCTTGAAATATTGATCTCAACTTTCTCGACTAGTTCTTATTGATTGCCAACAACTCTTAGCGATTAGTAGTTTTCATTTTATGTTTTCACTACAAAAATATTAGAAAAGATTCCATTCTATTATGAAAGTTATGCCAATTGCAAGCCTCATACAACTGTGAAAATATCTACATATTAAGAAACCTAAAAATATGATGTTTAGTTTTGAATTCGCACATTGTGGACTCATTTTGTCTTGCTATCTACAGTAATAGTTTAATAAGAATTAATAAAGCCATCAGTTGTGTAAAATAATGATTGCAAAGTAAAAAAATAAAACATCAACTATAAAGAAATCATCTCTTTATTGAAGATAGTCCGACAAAATAGTACATCGTTATTGTAAGTCACTAGATGAAAAGTTTTGAAATAGTTCTTCTTTTATTTTTAGTATTAGCGTATATGAAAGACTAAAAACTAAAATAGAAGTTGTCACTATTAGAAACTATAAGAGCAGTACCCGTTTCATAGTGCATATCTTCGTGAAATTGTATAATAGAATTTTTCTCGAAAGAACTAGTTGATTAATTGATATATTGAACAGCCTGGTTTTTTTTACCGATTAAGAAAACCATTTCAACTGGTTGGTTCAGTCCGGTTGAAAATAAATCAATCGGTTTCAACTCTGCATCATACTTTTACCGCCGTCGAGTTGCGTATGGCTTACTAACTTTCAATATATAGAAGTTACTTACAAATAAGATAGATCCATTAATAGTCAAGAGTTTTTAAAACAGTTAGATCTTTCAAAAAAATGGATTCTTTGTATTAGTAAAGGAATATTTTGAAGCATTTCTTACATCTTTCCCTCTTAGGATACTCAAGTTTCAGTATATTTCGATAATGTAATAGCTGGTCAATTTACTACAGATTCATTTGAAAAATGACTTTAAAATGTTTCAGTTGAAGATATTTACAGAAATAAAAATTTAATGAAATCAACTCATTATGGGAACAGTATTTATGGAAATAAGATCATTGTATTAATTTGTGCAACATAAATTGCGTGTAAAGATAGTTTCAAATAATCATATTGTCACAAAAACAGGAGCATCTACATAATTTCAAGCTTTCAAATCAGTCTAGTTTCATAGAGACTTTCTTTGTAAAAAAAAAAAAACTATTCGCTATGAAATTCAAAAGTCGATTTCAAAAAGAATTTAACACGGAATAAAAGAGTTCAGTAGAACTTAAATATAGGAGCCTCAAGGATATTACAAAAAATTTAATCACTATCTATTTCATAAATATCACATTAGTTTCATTCCATGATTTGGATTGTCTTTTGAAACTCCATAGTGTACTTGATTTATTTTATTTAATTTACATTTATATCTTTAAACATACCGTTTTAGGAAAAAGAACGGTATGTATAAGGACAGATAGCATTTAATTTCCTATTTTTTCTATCCTAAATAGATAAAAATAATACTTTATCAATTTGGTAGTCTACGTGAATTTAAGGTAACATGAATTTCAATAAATCATGATGTAGCTCTTCGAAGAGTAGTCGACTTAAACTGTGAGGAAAGTCTGGAGTAAACTACTCCACCTGAGTTGGTGGATGACTCAGATGGTAGAAGAAGATAAATATTATCTTTATCATGTTTTTCAAGGTATGATTCTCATACAAATTTATGCAATTTCATGGTATGATTATCATGCATTTTGAATCAATTTCACAACATGAATATATATCGACAGCATCCATATCTTTGACAAAAATCAAAATGAATGTCGATTTTGTGATAAGAAATATTTTTCTTTTTTTTTTTTTTACCTTCGTCATCATTTGTCTGTAGGAAAAATCTCATGAAAATGATATAGATAAAGTCATTTTTTATTTCATGGGATGATCGTCGAAGGAAAAATAATTTTAGAAACCTTATTTTCCTTTAAAGTCTAAAGAATAAGCATTGTTTCGCTATAGTAGCTGGATTTACTTTTTGATAGTAACAGTGTAGTCAGTATCTCAATAATTATGTTTGTTTCTTGAAAGACGATTGCTTGTTTTGTTTTTTTGTTAAGTTTCTCAGAGGAGTTTTTAAATATGAATAATTTATTTCCAAGTAAATTCGACAGAGGTAATCTGAGTAAACATAAATTCAGTATTATCATCTTTTGAGAGAGTAATATTTCGTGATTGGATGCGGCACAATTCTTGATATCGTAGCTTCGATCTGGTCAACTCGAGATATGGTTGAATCAACTTTGAATGGCTTCTAGTGGTTACACTATGATTAGTAACTTGTTTCGTTATTTTATATTTGGTCCTTTTGTTTTGAATACTATTTAATTGATAAATGAGATGTATTGAAACTGAATTATAATTAGAAATGACAATTTTATATAGTCATTCGTTTTGTTCAATAAGAAAGAAATATCAGTTATTCTGAAGCGAAAGATAGAGAAAGATAATATCAAGAGAAAAATCAAGTTTCACATCAGAGCTTTGTTGATCTTCGAATCAAATACTACCGAAGAAAATTGTTGGACTATAAATTCTTTTGATCATAGTGTTAGAGTTTTATTAGCTTCATTATTTTGCAAAACTGGTAGAGGCCAAAATATAACGATGTTCTGAATCTTCATTTAGTTTTTTATCCGATGAAATTAATGTCAAGTGACAAATTATTGATATCAAGATATCGAATGTTCAATGAAACGAGACAGATCAATTAAGATAATGAATCTAAATTCTTTTTTCGAAAAGACATAAGTTTTCCTAATGTTAACAATTGACAAAAACAAACAACTTCAAAGAAAAGAATATTGTACAAGTTTATGGAGTCTTGCAAAAATTTGTTATTGAATCTCAATAGCCAATCTTTTCTTTTTTTAAATGATTTTTAATATCATGATAATGTTAAACATACATAATTCTTAATGAGATGTGATTTGAAAAGACATTTACATAGGAAATTTAGAGAATAAAAATCTTCGAAGTTGTACTTGTCCAATACATTAATTACCAGTATATCGTATCTCTAATGAATAATGTCGTTTTTTAATCGTTTCTTAGGTACAAATGAAAATTCAACTTTTTGGCTGAAATGAAACTTTATAAACAGATGAATTTGTAGATATAAGTTTTTTTTTCCTGAGACTTTCCATTTAGTATAGAATACTTTGCGAGAAAAAAAATGAGTATTAAAATTGAAGTTGTTGAACATGAATACTAATGGCCTCACTCCGATTTGTGCTCAAATAATATCTGTTCTTGGATACCTATAAAATATAACATGTTGTCATATTTAGGACAATCATTCATTAATACTATTATGTTTATCAACAAAAACTATTATCTGAATAACATATAATTACAATTGTTATCAACTATGCAATGATTGTTAAAGATATAGTTAAAGAAAATCATATTCAGTAGTTTATTGAAGGTACTTATCCACATTTAAAAAATAATCTAATATATTGAAATAACAACTTCGTTATTTTCATCGCAAATATCACAATCAACTATCAAATGAGAAAATTTTTCAACGATCATCGACAATAGAAAATAGAAATAAAGATTTTCATCTGTTAATTCTAATTAGATGAATAACGTAAAATCGCTGTTATTATAAGAAAAATCGCAATATCATCTTCGTTGCATGACGAATTATTATTAAACACGTCTACGTATTAAGATATTTTGACGAATTTCTTGTTACCTTGATTGTTTTATTTTTTACTTTTTCCATGCATGCGATAGAAAATGTGATAGATACGCATGTATGTGCAGGAAGTGTGACCAAAAAACGAAGTGTAATAACGAAAAAGAGTCACTTCTTTTGAAGATATTTTACTCTTTTTCGCATTTATAAAACGGTGAATACTTTTAGAAAAAGCATATCAACTGTATCAATCTCCTTCATCGTGACTATCAAAATCAAACATTTAAAAAATAACTATGATAGAACCAATGGGTTTTGCTGCTATTTGTATGGGAGCTCTAGCTGTAACAATAGGCGGATTACAAGCAATGGCAATGATGTTTGCTCCAGCAGTGTCATCTCCAAAAGATAAATATCGAATCAATGAAGAAGAATATCAAG